CTTGTTCTTGATACTTTCTTCTAAATTTTCAAGACACTACTCTCTCTTGCTTCTTCTCCTACGTATCTGACCACTCCTTAGTCCCCTTCCCCCCCTTTTTTTTTAAGGCAATTGGGGTTAAGTGACTTGTCCAGGGTCACACAGCTAGTAAGGGTCAAGTGTTTGGTCTAAGGCGGAATTTGAACTCAGGTCCTCCTGACTTCAGGGCTGGTGCTCTATCCACTGCGCCACCTAGCTGCCTCCCCCTTAGTCCCTTTTGCTGGATCTTTATCCAGATGATGCCCCCTAACTGTAGGTGTTACGTAGTGTTCTGGCCTTGGCCCTCTTCTCTTCTCCCTTTATATTACTTCATTTGGTGATCTCATCAGCTCCCATGGATTTAATTACCATCTCTATGCTGAAGATTCGCCAATCTATTTACCTTGCCCTAAACCTATCTGCTAAACTCTAATCTCACATTTCCAACTGCCTCTCAGACATCTTGAACTAGATTTTTTAAACCCAACATGTCCAAAACCAAGCTCATTGTTTTCCCTCCTAAACTCTTCTCCCTCTTACTTTTCTCATTTAGAGAGCAACATTATCCTTCCAATCCCTCAGGCTCCCCCGCAGCCTAGGTGTCATCCTGGACTTCTCACTATCTGTTACCTCCCATATCCAATTTGTTGCCAAGGCCTAAAGCACCTTGGCAACATCTCTCATCACTTTTGTAAAATCTCTTGAATGTGCCTCCTTCTATCCTCTGACACTGCCACCACTCTGGTGCAGGCCCTCCTCACTCACACCTGGACTGTTTCAATAGACTGCTGGTGGGTCTATCTGCTACAAGTTTTTCCCCCTCCAATCCATCCTCCAGCTACCAAAATAATTTTCCTACGCTTTGGTCCAACCATGTCTCCCCCCTACTCAGTAAACTATAGTAGTTCCCTATTGCCTCCAGGATCAAATACAAATCTTCTGTTTGACCTTCAAAGCCCTTCATAATGTAGCCCTGTCCTACCTTTCCAGTTTTCTTACGCCTTACTCCCAGCCAGAGAACATTATAACATTGGCCATCCTCCTGTTCTGAGAACAAGACATTCCATTTCTGAGCTTTGGGAAATTTTCTCTGGCTGTCCCCTATGTCTGGAATGTTCTCCTTCCTCTTGGCTTCCCTGGCTTCCTTTGAGTCTTAATCAAACTCTCACTTACTACAGGAAAACTTTCACACCTTCTCTTAATTCTTAATCCATTAATTATTTCCTATTTATCCCATATAAATGTCTTGTTTTGTATTTGTTCATTTGCATTTTGTCTCCCACATTAGATTGTAAGCTCCTTGAGCGCAAGGACTGTCTTTTGCCTTTTTGTATCCCTAGAACTTAGTATAGTGCTTTGACATATAGTAGGTGCTTAATAAATGTTTACTGATTGAGTGAAGGCTTTCCTAGGTACTCTTAATTCTAGTACCTTCACTCTTAATTTATATATATATTTTATATGTATATATACATGTATATATATACTATATATGTATATATACGTATATATGTATATATATATATACATAGCCACACACACATATATGTGTGTGTGTGTAACCTGTTTGTACATATTTGTACAACTTATTGTTTCTTCTATTGTATTTTAGGCTCCTTGAAGGCAGAGACTGTCTTCTCTTTTTGCATCCCTTAGCACAGTACTTGGCAACATAGTAGGTGCTTAATAAATGTTTGTTGAGGGGCAACTAGGTGTCACAATGGATAGAGCACCAGCCCTGGAGTCAGGAGGACCTGAATTCAAATCGGACCTCAGATACATAACACTCACAAGCTGTGTGACTCTGGGCAAGTCACTTAACCCCAATTGCCTCACCAAAAAAAAAAAGTTTGTTTTGTTGACTGATTGAGTACCTCCAATGACAGGAAACTGATTATCTATCTAACAACCCATTTTACTTTGGGACAGCTCTCTACCTGGAGCCAAAATCTGCCTCTAGGCTACTTTCTTCCATTCTTTCTCGTTTTGCTTTGAGGCCAAAAAGACAAGTTTAATCCTTCCTCTCCTTGAGAAAACTTCAAATATCTGAAAACAAATCATGTACTCCTAAATCTTTTCTTTCTGGCCTAAACATACCTAATCCTTCAAAATATCATTGATAGTACAGTGTCCAGCTCTCACCATCCTGGCTGCCCTGGATGTTTTATAGCTGGTCAAATCCTTCCTAAAATGTGAAGCCTTGGGCTGAACAGAATACTCCATCTATGGTCTGAGCCGGGAAGGGAATTGTGCTGTTATTACCTCCTTCTTTGTGGACACTGTGGCTGCCATTTCATAGTGTTTGTTCAACAAATATTAAGTGCTTACTATGTATGCAAGGTCCTGAGTTCATTGTTAGGGAAATGGAAAATTGGAGAAAATAGCACAAACTCTACCCTTCTTGAAGGAGTTTATAATCTAAAAGAGGAATACAATATTTGCATCAAACTGTTGCAAAAAGAGTTGGTGAAGAGAGTTCACTTGAGGGATTCAATTTGATGAATTTTCTGGGTGGTAAGCTTTTGTTTTGAAACAGTTGCTAAACACTTTCCTCCAGCTCTAATAAAATGCGAATGTTGGTCATTGGTATTTTTTTTTTCCATGGTGGGGAGCAGATGTATGGTTTCATTGCTCCTGGTGTGGAAACCCCTTCTAGCAATGCAGATGGGCAACTGTTCTCTAATTTACAGTCTTGGAGAGAATTACCCAGAGAACTGAGAGGTAAGTGACTTTCCCAGGGTCATACAACTAGAATTCGCCAGTAAGTTTTAGAAGAGGGACTTGGAACCATGTTTTCCTGACTGATGACTGTTGGCTATCCACTATTTTGTCAGAAAGACAAAAACCAAACACCATTTAGTTTATAGTGAGTGGGCTACCCTCAAGATGATTTGATTGACTTGTAAAATTCTTGTCCAAGTGCCAGGTACAGTAATGGTAGGTGCTTAATAAATGTTTATTGACCAAGTACTTCCAATGACGGGAAAATGGATTACTTTATCTAACAACTCATTCTACTTTGGAACAGCTCTAATTGTTTAGGAAGGTTTCTTTTACTTTGACACTTTCCAACTCCAGCCAATTAAACAGAATTGATAGACCACACTCTCCTCTCTTTTCAGCACTTCATCTCCCTCCTAGGCCCCTTTAAAAAAATTCATTTTCTGTTTTAATATCTATTTTTCTTCTGGAGTGCAGAAGTGGGTTAAGGCAAGAGGATTTCCTGTTAAATCGACCTTATTTGATCTGGTCCCTTGTTCTATTCTGGTAAAATCTTTTTGAATCTCGAACTTGTCAGCTGTTCCTCCTAGCTTTGTATAAGTAAATGTAAGGAAATCGAAGGGTTCTTCCTACTCTCACTGATTGATCCCCCTCTTTGGGTCTGGTCAGTGTTCAAGGTCATGTAGCCCACTTATCCAGATAATTAGAACTAGGGCTCAGGGCTCCTGGCTTCCAGGCCAGCTGTCTTCACTGTGTCTGCCTGCTTCCTCCAGTTCAGGACTGCACAAATCAATATTGATGAGTGACAGAGATTGGTCTCTGAGGCTTGGTATTCCAAGAGTTGTGTAATGTTTTAATGAGAGAAGAACACTGTAACTAGGACAGGTCAAATTGTGGAAGGACAGTGGGAGGGAAGGGGGATGGGGAGATAGAGGATGCTGTGAGTGATGGCAGTGGGTGGATCAGTGAGGATACAGGATGGGGAGACAATCTGGGGGATGACGCGTGTGGAGCTCACTCAGGGATGGAGGACATTGTGGGGATGGGAGTGTGTCATTCCGTGGGAGAGAAGGGGGATTATGGAGGATGGGAAGTCTGATATTAACTGGGGATGGGGGACATTGAAGTGTGTGGTGTTCCACCGAAGAATGGGGGGATCTATTGGGGGAAGGGGTACTCAGTGTTCAGTAGGGATCTGGTGAGACAGTGTAAGGGGTGGGGTGTGTGGATGATGCTGAATGGCGAGTGCTGGAGGAAATTGAGTGGGAATGGAATACGTTTTATTCAGCAAGGGAACGAGATGAAGTCACACGCCTAAAGGCCCGAAGACCCCTAAGTAGCCCTCAGGCACAGCCTCGGTCTTCCCCTCCCCCTCCACTTGAGTTTCCCTTCCCCCGGCCTCGAAACCTCGCAGCCGGGTCACCAGGCACCTTAGCAACAGCGTATTTTGGGATATCCAATCAGCGAGCGTCTCTGCCGCCCAGAGCCAATGAGGCCCTTCGCTGAGAGCGAGGGTACCCGGCGGGGGGAGCCCGCGGCGGCGGCGGCCGCCATCTTGCCTCCGGAGAAACAATAGAGCCGGAGCCGCCACCGGGGACCCCACGGGCCTGAGCCGCAGGTAACGTAATGTCCTTCGCCGCCTCCTCGCTCTTCCCGCTGGGGCGGCTGAGAGCCCTCCCCACATCTGACCCCCATTTCGGCCCCGGCCCTGAGTCCCAACAGCGCCTTCGAGGGCACCCGGCGCCCCTCACCGCCCCCCGGAAGCCGCCCCCGGCCTGGCCCTATCGGCCCCGCCCCGGGCCGGCACGGCTGGGCTTGGCCCCTCGCTCCCTCGGCCCCTCGTTCCCTCGCCCCCTCCCTCGCCGGCTGCTGCCGGGGCCGGCTCGCTCTGCCCCCTCCTTCGCCTCCCTCCGCTTTGCCCCGCCCCCCCACTGCCCCCTCCCACGCCATCCCCGCCCGGGCGGTCCGGGAGTAGCGGGCGGGGGCAGGGGAGCCCTGAGCCGGCCGGCCCGTCCCGGCCCTCCCAGGGCTTCACCTCCGTGCTACTCGCTCTACGCCCATCCCTCCCACATCTAACGGGATGAAGTGGGAGGAGCGCTGGCCTTGGGGCTTGAGCCCTGAGTCTAGCCCTAGGCCTAGTTCTCATCTTTTATGATGGGAGTAGGCTGGCTTTAGTAGCTGTACTGGACCCTAAACCTTGTTACCATGGCGATTATTTCGTCTATATCCCCATATTGGGGTGAAAACAGAAGTCAGCTTACGGCCGGGCTCTTAATCAGGGCAGATCTGTGGCTAGACATCAGGGGGTCCGTGACCTTGGATGGGGGGAAAAATTACGCCTTTATTTTGACTTATCTCTAAGTGAACTTTAACGGCGCCCTTCAATTGTGAATATAGGTAACAATATGGGTGGGGCTACAAGCATTCATTAAGCGCCTACTATGTCCTAGGCACAGTGTAAACGCTTTACAAATAATATCTTTATTTCATGAGGGGGGTCCATAGGTTTCACCAGACTGCCGTAGAGGTTGTGTGTAACATGACAGCAAACATAGCTAGGTAAAGGAGGCTCTGCGACTTCTCTTTCCCAGCTATCCATAAGATAGCACTTTTTATCTCCCATGTGTGAAAGCTTAGAATAAAATTTTGACCTTACTTGTCTTTTAGGTGTCATATCCAATTATATATATTCACTCAGGACCAAGTCCTGTTCAGTAGACTTTTGAAATCTTGTATCTGACCTCACTTTTCTGTTCTTAACTGCCACAACTTACCATCTGTCTGGACAGTTTCAGTTGCTTCTTAATAGTCCTTCTGTTACTACTCTCTTCCTGCAGCACTCATTCATCTATACGCTACTAGGCTGGTGATCCATCTGCATGGAACTGATCATAATACTCTGCTCAAAGTTTTTCAGTACCTTTGTTACTTCATGTAGTACTTTGTACCTTTCTAATACAACTACCATTTACTATGGTGTGTCATAGTTATTTGTGCTTGTATTTTATTTCTCTGCTGGTTTGTAAGTTCCTTGAGGGCAGGAACCATATCAATATGCTTTCTTCCTTACTGCTGTACACAGTGCCCTTTATATAGCAAACCTTAATACATTTTTTTATTGAATGAATTAATGGCATATTTTAGGAATCGGAAGGTGCCATATTTAGCCATGTTTTACACTTAGAACCTGGGACTTTCTGAACCCCTTGGGGCCTGCACCCTAGGGCCTTAGGGGCAGTAGGTAGAGTTCATGGAATTTCAGGATCCTAAGGGTCAGTTTCCTAATCTCTAGAACAAAGCCTCAATTTAACATTTAAAGCCTCAATAAAAATGTCATGGCAAAAAAAAAATTTTTAATGTCATGGTTATTTGTATTTTTTTGTACTTGATAACGGCTTCATGAACTGTTCATTGTGTACAAATTTTCAAAGTTCACAGGTTCCCCCTACTTTCATTCAGTACATTCTGTAAGCCTCTACGTGGTTTAAGGTGCTGTAGTTGGTCAGATAAAACAGATAAATAAGGCCCACACCCCGTCCTCCAAGTGCTTTTTGTGGGAGAATAAGACATTTATGATACTAACTGTAACTTAGGGTAGGATGACCTTAGTTTCCATATCTATAAAATAATGGAGTTAGACAAAATTATATCTAAGGTTTCTTTCAGCTGTAACAGACAATATGTCAGTGGTGTGATAAGTGACATAAGTATGAGATATTACGCTCTGGAAAGTAGAGTGGAGTGAGAGGCCTCATCTTGCTTGCTCTTCTTGCTCATAAATCTGAAAAGTAGCTATGTATTCTATGCATTTATTAAATGCCTATTAATGTGCCAGACACTGCATCCTTATCAGTAAAAAAAAATTTGGCATATATTCCCCTATGTTATGCGTATTTATTTTAAAACTATATTTTCATATTGTACCAATAAATTATATTGTAAAATCTAGATTAAAATGGATGAAGTAAAGATGAGGAACTATTTAAAAATAATTATTTTATTCATGCAAACTCCATTTTGTTCTCAAAATGTGAGAGCATCAGTATGAGCATTCTTCCTTATTTTTTAAAATCCATGGCTTTATACTTTGTGATAGAGCACATTTTTAAGTTCATTTTTATTTTATTCCGTATTTGCTTGTCTCCTTTATTAAAGCTGGAAAATACCTTAGAGACTTTCTTAGGTAGCCTAGCCCCTTTTGACAGAGAAGGAAACTAAGGCCAATAGGGAAATGTCTGTGAACTCTTCTGAAATCACATAGCCTATTGTTTTTCACCACACATCTTTGAACAGTTTTTATAGCTTCATCAGTTTTGTGAAGGTTATTACTACTGGTTAAGCTTAAGAGCTATGGCACATTAAAGCTTGGAAGTTTTTTTATCTGAGGTGAATGCAAAGTTTTATTCATGGATGTTTTGGGGGACTTTTGGTAGCCTTTCTGTGTGGCAGTTTTATGATGTCACCTAGTCCTTGCCAGAGGGCAGTGAAATAAAAAAGATCCTCCCTTATCCTCTCTAGCTATAGGCACTTGAAAAGTTTGCAGGTTACTTTGAAAACTGGAAGGTGGGAATATTGAGACCCACTAATGTAATTTATATTTGTGTCATGGATCCCTTTGGCAGTCTGGTGAATCCATGGACCCCTTTTCAGAATAATGTTTTTAAATGTATAAAATAACACATAGAATTATAAAGGAATCTGTTCTATTGAAATAGTTATCAAAATATTTTTAAAAACCAGATTGATGGACTCTTTCTTTAAAGATAATGGAAGATTTTCTTAAGGACCTAATTATGAAATGTTGGTATTTGTGTTCTTTTTATGGTGTTAATAGAACTTCCCAATGAAATATATCAAAGAGACATCACAGTGTCTCTGCAAAATGATTTGGACTTAGGAGTCAGGAGGCCCAAGTTCAGATTCTGATTTTTTGACCATGTGGCTTAAAACTTGAGCCTCATTTTTTTCATTTGTAAAACGATAAAATAAAACTTATACAACCTACTCTGGGGGTTGTCCTGGGACAGAATTTTGTAATCTTAAGTAGCTACAAAAATGCGAGGAAATGTTTTGCAGATATGCATAATGTACAAGATGAGATTATAATATTTAAAACTAGATGGGATCTTGGTGATCATTGAGGTCCAAAGGTTGTAAGTGACATGCCACGATCGCAAAAAGGTAGTAGGTAGCAGGCTTTACAGTAGTTTACTCCCTGATAAATGTATGGAAAGCCTTCATTCTGAAGCACTTACTAAAACAGTAATGGTAGTGGTAGTGCCTGTTTTGGTCAAATTTCTTGTATGGTTATCCCTTCCACATTGAGACTTTTACCTCTTGAGGTTTTGATATATGCAGGGCCAGCATAAGAAATTAAATGGGAATTTTTTAGGAGTTTGCAAACTACACTTGAAGATTAACAGATAATACAGAAAAAATCTAGAAGCTCAGAAGTGCATAAAATATACGCATAGTATTGTATAATATCAAGCCAAATTTTACAATAAGGTACTATTAAAACACCCTCCGTCTCCCCCCCAAAAAAAAGAAAAAAGAAAAATTCAAACTTCTCTGGTCAACATAGATGGTCCAGATATTTTGTGAGGATTTTCCAGATTTAGCAGAGTGCTGTGCCTTTAACCCCCTCAATGTGGAAGGGATAACTGTAATAGAATATAGTCGTACATACATGATATGAGTAAGAGTACAAAATGTTTGGGGTTTTGTGTACTGCTGTACTTAAAGCATTCATCATTTAATAGATATAGGTGGTCCTATCATTGACATCCCTTGTGTACCTTGGTATATAGTTGTCTCAAAACTTTTCTGATCATGCATCCTTATCAGTAAAAATATTGTGAACATGCATCCCCTATATAAACATGTTTATCTATTTAAAAATTATGCATGTATGCTATTAAAATAATATATTAGTTATATTTAAAAACAAATTTAAAAGGATAAGATAAAGATGACAAACTTTAAAAATTGTTTTATTCATTAATAGTACAAAACTCATTTTGTTGTCATGAAAATATTAGCCATATGACTATATTTCCTGATTTTTAAAAATCTTGGCTTAAAACTTTGTGATTCAGCTGTTGGAAGATGTGATTCTGAGTTGTTTTTTTCCTGTACTTGTCTCTATTAGAATGTAAGTTACTTGAGGGCAGAGACTGTTTTATCTTGTATCTGCAGTGCCTAGTATGTACCTAATAGATATTTAATAAATGCTTAGTGTGATTCCTGGCTATTGGCTGTTGCTGTTGAAAAACAAATATCTTACAAACAGTAATGGATAGATTCAAATGGAAGAAGTGTCATTGGCTTCACTTTCTAAATCACAAAACTTAATTTTCAGTTCTACCAATTATCTAAAGGTATATTTCTTTTTTTAAATTTTTTTTAATATAAATTTATTTACTTTTAGTTTTCAATCTTCACTTCCACAAGTTTTTCAGTTCCAAATTTTCACCCCTCCTCCCACCCCAAGATGGCATGCATTCTGAATACCCCTTCCCCTGTTCTGCCTTCTCTTCTCTCTCTCCCCCCTCCCTTCTCTTATCCCCTTCCCCTTCTATTTTCCTGTAGAGCAGGACAGACTTTAAAGGTATATTTCTTCAAGTAAATTTCCATCTGATAGCAACCAGTTTTTGGAAATGATTTGGAAGGTATTGCATTTTTACATTTTTAACAATGGGTGCAAAACTCACTGAAACTCTTAATTTGAAATGTTTGAAACAGATTAGAAAATTTTGTTTCTAATTTTTTAAAGGGTGCAGATATGAGAGTCTTTGTAGGGGACACATCTTTTTTTGGCAATAGCTTAGTTTTAAAATGTCAGTTATGATGAATATTCCAGATTGTTAATTTCAAATATTTTTGATTCTAATAAAGCTTTATCTATTTATTTATTTTGGGTTGGGCAGTGGGGGTTAAATGACTTGCCCAGGATCACCCAGCTAGTAAGTGTTATGTGTCTGAGGTCAGATTTGAACACAGGTACTCCTGAATCCAGGGCTGGTGCTCTATTCACTGTGCCACCTAGCTGTCGCTAAAGCTTTATTTTTTAAGATAAAAATAAATACAAATAGAAATTCTCATATTTTCTTGTCATACCCCTTGGGTTACATGCACCTCCCTTTGGAGATGAGTGTTTTAGTAAACAGTTTTCATAAGTTGTGGTGGTCAGAACAGTTCATTACCTGGGGAACAGTTTGTCTGATTCCATTTGCCTCTCCACTTTTAAATGGGCTGGTTCTACTAAAACAGATGATTCATCCAATTGCTGGACCCATGTAAGTGTTTCCAGGTTTGTAAGATGTGTCAGAATTCAAGCTTTGCAGGCATCAGTTTCAAGAGAAGTCAAGCC